TTTGATTTTAAAAATCCACGAGGGCCCACAACAGATTATTAGCACAGAGACACAACCTGAAATTAAATGACAACGATAAAACTCGAATTTACTGCAGCCACCCGAAAGTTCCAAATTAGAGAGATCCGTCACGGCGTGTTGACTTTACACCTCGCTAACTCCATTCCAATTAATATGGGGACCGACGTAAGCGGGGTTCCCTGGCGATCCAGACGCCGTCATCTGCTGGGAAATCGAAGCAAATATATCCGGCTTCCTGTCCGAAACACAATATAAAAGCTGAAGCGTCCTGTGTTATTTGCTAGGCTCTTCCCCGCTTCAATCTCCTTCTACATGCCGAGATTAAATCGCACGCTGTACCTCAGCTACATTATCCGAGCGCAGACTGAGTAATCGCCCTGCAGAGCTCTACAGCAGGTCTCTGACAGGGGGCGCTGCCATATATCTCCTTAATTAAGCATCCTGTTGCGGGTGACCCAAAAATCCACCCCGCCCCATTAAATCGACTCAAAACAGTGAAGAATTACCAACAGCGACTGCTACTCTTTCACACAAAGAGGGTGAGATGATTCAGCTCCTCAGAAAGGAATAGGTGGTCACAGAAAATGCCCCAGTGACCTCAGCCTGTCCCCAGTGGCACATCTACCGTTGTGTGCTGGAGCAGTTTGCAAGAATCACGGGAGGAATCATCTCCAGGATCTACTCAGGATTCCGATTCACCGATGAAGTGCTGCTTCTTTTTAGTGAAGCGTTTCTGCGGGTCAGGAAGAGGAAAACCGGCCATGTGAGGAATTGTAGAGACATGTGTCACCATGGGCTGGTCCCGTTCCCATCTTACCTGGTGGTCGGGACCCTGGTCACACTGCCAGCGACCGTGGTGTGTGTTGGGGCAGCAGACCACGCCCTCATAACCCAACACAAACCCTTCAGCTGGATTAGCTGTGAAATCAGATGCACCTGCCTTATCCTGCACCGTGGGTCCTGATAGTGTCCCTTTGATACAGAGCCTCCCTCACGCACAAATTCATCATATGGGGGCCGGGGGGGCGGAGCATCAATGTGGTCTTTGGAGACTTTCCACAAAGCTCTCATGTCATCATCTCACTGCCATCCTGCCGTAAAGATGCCGCCCCTCTGCCCCCCCCCCCCCCCGCACATGTGTTTATCCTGCATGTAAACACAAATCCTAGGGGCGGCCAAACACAGGACGGGCACCACTGCATCCAGAGACAGTGCAACAGGTTTGATTGCAAATTAAACTTTTACTTTACACAAAAGCAACTAGCCAAAAATCCAACTATGGAAACCGGGTCCATTGCATCCACAGCCGACACCTCCAGCCACGCATAGCCTTGTTGGGAATTACATTCCCAGTAACGGACAGCAGCTCCAGTCTGGGATAACTGACAGTGGCCCCTGTGGGAGCAGGGCAAAGGCGCCCTGGATCCTACCACAACACAGACACGATGGAGTGCCTGTTCGCAACACACAGAACCAAACAGACTCTCTCAACTTTTAACTCGCCTGGGGCGACAGTAGTATAAGACCAGCAAAGGAAAAACGATTTCATTATTGCGAGAAACCACAGCCTTACAAAACTTTGTTATATAATAGTACTAGAGCAAATGTGTCCTGTTTTCACGAGTGAGGGGTGAGAAACATGCTACCGTGCAGACAGAGATGCCATGCATGACATCAGAAGACCAGTAATAATCCCTTTATATTGGTTTAAACCTATATTTCAGGCCAGCCTAATAATATACACATACATACAGTTCAAGTGCACTTGCGATCCCTGTTACATAAAGCTTTAATGACAGCGTTTGTGAGCGTTAACGACTTGTCTAAAACATTACTGTTGAAGTTACATCAAAATCCACTCCGACTTAAATTTTAAATACAGTCGACGGACCTGCGACTTTTTAAAAACAGTCACACCAACAAACATGGTGCCCCCCCCCCGTATCGTACCCTCCCGTCCCGTTGTAACTCCTTGACCCAAATCGGAATCAGACAAGACCGGGATGATGCCCTCGTAGATTGCAGGCTTCAGTTACTCACCCTTTCGGAGGGACGGTCCAGTGTGAATACGACGCAATTAAAAATAACTAATTTAAAAGAGAACAAACAAAAATACCACGCAGCGCTCGCAAAGTGGCACGGAAATACGATCCTCTTCGATGTCCTGCTGTATGTACCCGTTGGCCACGTTTCTTTTTTACATTAAAAGCACTTCGATCGGACCCCTTTCATTCGCTCCCCTCCACACGGCGTAACAAGTCTTGGCGATCGTACACTGCCCTGGAACAGGCACTGGCACCGCCAGCAGAAACGCAGCCAGCAAGCCCAGGGCATTTAACTTGATTGATCGATCGGGCGGCGAATCGGTTTGCTGTGTCGCCACCTTGGGTCCCGCCCACACCGCGCTCAGGGCCCAATGGGATCCCACCGTGATGGAGCGTCTCTTAATTCAGACAGCCTATCCAACTCCGCTCGAAAAAGGGTGCTTCTTTCTCCCTGGCTGTAATTTAAAACGTACAGTAACAACACCGTTCACCCTCTTGTATTGTACTGTACCGAAGCGCACTGAATTTATGATAAAGATTAGAATATATTACAAAAACAACAGACCCCCTTCTGGCCTTCAGTTAAGGGTTAAGAACGAAAAACATAATGAACTAGCTATGCGAACATTTAATAATATTAAAAACGAAAGTTTTACTGTTTTAATAAAGGAACCCGCAACGATTCATTTATAAGCTAATTTGGGCGCACATTTTATAGGCTAAATTTACACACAACTAGTGCCTGATGTAAGTTCATGTAAGGTTCATACTGTCAATTGGTTATTTTAAGCATCTTACCCAACTAGCTGAAAATACAGTATGAGTTTTAGACTTGCTGCATTAAAAGCAACAGTATGGCACTCTTCCTGTAAGCGCAAGATGTGTAGCCACTTGTCTTGTTTACATGCACGCACTTGGTTCCTGAACTTTGCCCTCTGGAAATTTCTATTTTTATCCGCATTGTGTACTTCCTCCTTTTAACCGAAAGTATAAAGCTTTATTTGTCTGTGCGTTTGTGCGATTTTCCAAAATACATTTTAGACAGCCCCAATACTAGAAAGGGTTGTTTATTTAAATCACAAACTTGTCTTTCTTGCACAAGCGGTTGAGTCGCACTGGATACTCCCCGTTATGATTTTGTCTGCGGATCTCAGTAAACTGAGAGGTTAAAGGCGATCGCGCATTCTTATAACCCCGCGTCTCCGACAAGCGATCGCTGCTGCACGGAGCACAGCTGTCAGGGTACCGGCTGCAGATGCAGGGTTACCGAGCACAATGCACACGACCGTTAGACGCTCCGGCGACAGAAGAAAGACAGTGGCGTACTCTGGCTCGGTGCCCGCTGCGAGTCTGGCTCCGGCTCTTTTGTCCGTAGTTAAATCTGTGCAGCAAAGCAGGACACGTATCGCTCAGATTCCACTAGAAAACCGAGCATTTTAAAATAAGAGTGACGGAAAAGATGTGGTGATATATTTTTTTAACTACACGCCCATGATCAAATCAGGTGATCAGTTACACAAAGGGGGGGATAAAGTTTTCTGTTTTGGTCCACGCATCGAGTATAAGCGTAGGCAGAACCCAAGCACGTGCTGGAGGAAGAGCGTCAGACAGCTGACAGAGAACTGGCTACGTTTTAGGGGACGGTAGGAAATTAGCAATACCTCTGTGGCAGCTGAGTTTGGTGCCGCGCTCCGTGGCGCCATTGTAGTCGCTATTTGCAGCGCACAGTACTTGAATGCAGTGGTTACTTTGTGGAAAACTTGTAGGTTCGTCTAGCCGAAGAATTCCTGGCTATCGCCACTGTTAGCAGAATCGAGACTAATGCTATTATCAAATGAGTGGGCATGGAATTAAAGTTAAGTTTAAATGTTTATCTTTGTAGAATGAACTTCATGTTTTATAATAAACAACGCAACAATAAAATCACCTGGAAATTAAATAAAAAATACAATACAATAACATGTTTCTTTCAGAATTCGATTTCACCAAATATGTCTTCGATATATCGAAATAAAAAATAGCCGTGCGCAGTTAAAGCAAAAACAAAATTAAAATGGACTTTATTATCTCTTCAAAAACTATTTTCTTATATCTATTAATGTCGGTTAATACAGGGACAATTAAATACCACCTGCAGTAATTACATATTGTTGTGTTATTTGAGCATTTGTGGTGTATCATTCGGTTACAACATTTCTATACAATTTAATTGAGTTAGTTTGCCCGTGCCGACAATAATAGTGTAATTTTGCATGAAACCCTAAAAAATTAATCGCTCATTCTTGCACCTACCGCCGCCCAGCGTTTATGAAACGCACAACAGGCTTATAATTTCTCCGTTATGTCCAATTCTCAAACCAGGGAGGGCAAAAGTGTTGCGCCTGTCCAAGATGAGAAATCGACTAATTCACTTTCACTGTCGATTTTCTCCAGAAAGTTCAAATGGAAGAATTCTTCTTTTTCGTTAAATAAATTGTGAATGTAGCCAAGTCAGGAGATGTCGATTTATATAAGCAATTTTACTGTAATGTAAATACAACATCTAATAAATGTGTTAAATGAATGTGTTTAAATCTCATATTTTAATTTTTAAAGAAACACCAAACCATTGTTACCAAAGCCATTCGCAGCACTGTCGATCAAATAAAAAAAGTCTGTAATACTTAGATTTCACACAAAGGACTCCTGAGCAATAACTTTACACAATGTAAAGATACTGCATCTATAAAAAATGTCTACAGTCTGTAGATACACTGGTACTCAACCACTTCGACGTATATTTCTGGTTGCACAAAATGCCATTTGATGTGGTCGGATATGGGAAACAAGTTTTGAAAGTTTTGAAGCACTGCTGATTTACCGTATCAAGGAAAAGGGATCTAAGGGGGGCAATTTTTCGTCCTGTTGCATCAGAGCGTTGAGAACTATACCCAGAAGTGTACGCATGCGTGGAGCACTACATCCACCACTCGCCGTCGTCTGTGGAACATTTGGCTTTTGACAGAGGAAATCTGTCAGAGATACGGAAACACGCTCCTCGCTCCCATTTCAGTATTTTTTTTTTACACATTGCTTTCGCGAGTAAAATGGAGAAGAAGAACGAAATCAATGGCCATGCCATATCCGAATGCGCCGTACCGGTCATCACGGCTGCAGCCAAGGGTGATTCAAAGTCTTTTAAAGACAAGTTTGCAGTATTTTTGAAGAGGAATCTGTTGGTAATACTTACGGTGTCTGGCGTGCTGGTGGGTGTTGGGCTGGGCATGATGGTCCGAAGCATGGAGCTCACTCGGGCAGAGATGACTTACTTCGCCTTCCCCGGGGAAATGTTGCTGCGGATGCTGAAGATGATCATCCTTCCATTGGTGGTGTGCAGTCTAATCTCAGGCGCGGCCAGCCTGGACACCCGGTCCCTGGGCAAACTGGGCGGAATTGCGGTCGGGTACTTTTTTGTGACCACTCTCATCGCTTCTGCGATCGGCGTGGCCCTGGCCTTCATCATCAAACCCGGCGTCGGCGCCAGTGCCCTCAACACCAACAGCTTGGGACTCCAAAGCGTCTCTACCAGCAAGGAGACCACCGACTCCTTTTTAGATCTTGCCAGGTAACAAACGCTGACAAAGTACCGTCGGTTAGAGAGCTGAATATATTTATGATAATCAGGAGGAACAAGAGTGAAATGATAAGCCGCTTTTACCGGCTAAAGTAGACTTCGTGAAACGTTTTGTTTGTAGGCTACTGTGAATGACTATTCAAAAACCTATATATTACTGTAACTATATATGTATTTGTTTTCTGCAGGAAAAAAATCAGATTTTATACTTTTTCAGTTCCAATAACAGTCATTAATATTTGTATAGCAAAATAACGCCAATATTACGGTTTCATGCATGCAAAATATCTTAATTAAACAGGAGAAAGTGTATTGTGACTTCTTAAATTTTAGGAAGGAAGGAAGTTCCGATTATTTGTACCCATATAAGGACGTGTGTGGTTGCAGCATTAATAGGCTACGTATTAATAATAATAATAATAATAATAATTATTATTATTATAATAATTGTGCCGGTAGTTTCCTACACTTAAAATAGGATATTTATTATAACCGTGGGAGAAAATATATATTTAAACAGACTGGGACCTGGCGCGTCCTTCCCAGCTGAGGGAAGCCGAGCAGCTGTTAAAACACGGAGCCGCTGTGATACGTTGGAGCCACGACCCAAGATAGCGAACAGGAGGCCAGGGGGCGGGGCGCGGCGGGGGCATCGCCTCGTGGTCCGGACAGGCGCGAGACAGAAATAAGCACGTGCACACGGTACCCAGTCTCTCAACAACAAATGCTGTGAACTACAGTTTTGTGGGAAATTTTATAATCAGTTGATAATCATGTTATTGAACAATACACCGTGAATCACTTTCTGCATTTTAACGGCTAAGCCACGTAATGTCCCCTTTAAACAGCTTTAAATTGGGTAAATTAATTACAAAAGTTTTACATTAGTAACTGCTTAGTATGGACCTTTTGGAAAAAAATGCTTCCTGGACCAACCATGTGTGAGGAGCTGAAAGGAATTCCGTTTCTTTGTCATGTGATGTGAGTGGATATCGGGTAGTTAACCAGTGGGTATGGGGAAGGGGGGTGTACTCCGACGTTAGAGTGATGGAAATACGAGCACGGCTGTCTTCCATCCCACGGGTGTGTGAGTGTGACCTGTTAGCTCTGCCTCACGTGGTTTCTGTCTGCCTATTCGCTGGGGCATCCAGAATTCGTTTGGTGCCAGCGAACACGCGACTTTAAGGGTTAGAGGCTTCAGTAACACTAAGAATGTGGGTGTTCTCATAACCTCTTGAGTATAATGAAAATGCACTTCTTTATTTGCATATTTGTCTCCTGCCTTAGGAACCTGTTTCCAGCCAATCTCGTGGCTGCTGCCTTCCGCACGGTAAGACACTGACTTTCTGATTCTTCCGCACCGCGGACGGTCGGCCCGAAATGGGTTGCTGACCTAGGTGGTCCTTTGCACCGTTTGCTGCCTCATTCACTGCCTGTCAGTTAAATCAGCCCCCCTTCGATTCTGGCTTCTCTTTACCTGCCGTGCGCCGCTAGGGAGGTATTCTGTTGCCCTGGCAATCTGATTCCACTGTGCTCTTTGTCTGGCCTTTGATGTCCGTGCTCGCTGCCCTCCCTCAGCGCCTCTGACAGTATGAGCTTGGTTAAAGAGTTGTGAGTGGACCAGAGGGTCTACCATGTGACCAGCATGTGTCTGCACCCTGTCTGCCGATAGATGCCCTCCGGCAGGAAGCTTGCCTCACTGCTAATATCTAACCGGGCAGTGACAAGCCTCAGCATTTCAGCCCCTCTGTGTTTGACAGTCACTGTCAGGTATTTTAATGTGTGAGGGAGGAAAGACTGAAAAACAGCGTGAGGTCTGTCCTAGAGATGTGTCTGACAATCGGAGAATAGTGAAAAAGGGTCTTAGGGCTTCAAGCGGCCTCTCTTCAGAGATCTTGCAGCAATACCAGAATGTTAATGACCAATCTTGCCCCCCCCCCCCCCCCCCCCCCCCCCCCCCCCCCCACGGGATTCCGGAGCTCTTGGATTTCCGCAGAAAGCTGACCCAACGATGATACATTAACAGGACAAGTGACCGTAGTTTTTTAAATCTTGCTGAGAACAGCAGAGTCCCGGCATAATCACAAGCGTAAATCTGGGGAGTCACGTCCGATCCTGGGACGGCAGTAGTAAGAGGAACAGCTCAACAAGAGATACTACATTGTTTATGAAAGGTGCAAAAAAAAGACTGATCATCTGCTAGTTGTAGCTCTCCTGCTTGGGTTATTAATAGAGCTGCTACAGCCACCCAAGTCTCTTTGGAGGGCTTGTAGGATGTTTTTGTTTCTTGCAACTTACTTTGCCTCTATGGGTGAATTTCCGGGGCCCGGCTAAAAAGAGTCACTCCAGAGCCCTCCTCCCAGTGCAGCGAATATCTGTGGCCAACAGCCCCCCCCCCCCCAAATTCTCAGGGGCCCCACACAAATGCAAGGTTTGAGTGGTAGCAAATGCCGTATCGAAGGTGTTCCAGGTCATTTTAAATTCTTTTCTATGGAAGAGTTTCCCAGGCGTTAGTAGAACAGCGTTTAGTTGCACATGCTGTGCTGAAGTTTTAGCTAATATCCAGCCAATGTTGGGCTAACATTAAAGTCCATGTTGGTTTAAGCGCCCAAAGATCTCACCTTTCCCTCTGAGTCAAAAGAAAACAGAACCAGTGTAGCTTTAGGGTTGAACCATCTCTAGTTCCACAGTCAGCACGGCCCATATTGGTTGGTAAGTCAAACAAACACAGGGACACTAGAGCAGATCTCTGCTGCAGAGGCTGGGTGTTACACTGCAGGGAGGGTGACAAGAGAGTTCAGCCTTCAGAGGGAGAAACTGGAATCGGACTGCCCTCATCCAATGGGTCTTCCACACCATTCCCTCAACCCGCTTCCAATAAGTCCAGTCACAAATGGGTCTCTGTTCCCAGTCTGGCCTGTAGCCACTAGAGGAAAGACCTCACTTGAAAGGAAACGAAACGAAAGAAGAGAGGAGCACCGGAGATTCCAAACTCAGTTAAAAAATGTGGAATATACGAAGCCAGGATTGAGAAAACCACAAGTAAACAAAGGAAAAATCTTAACAAATGGCTGGATTTGAATTTCACTCCCCCTAACCCTTCTTCCCCTCTCTGTCGCTCGCCTGCAGTATGCGACTGATTACAAGATGGTTGCTGTGGGAAACGACACCAACGGAACGGTTATCTACCAGAAGGTGAGAAGAGCACACAGTGTGCATCCGCACCCACACCCCCGGCGCTACAAACTCCCCATTGCATTCAAGGATATGAAAATAGAAGAGTTGGGTTGATGAAGCCTACAAGCCTTCTGGGGTGGATATGAGAGATGCAGGAATGAGGCATGTGGAGCTGGATAACAGAGTGGGATGGGTCACTTGGGGTCAAGGAGATAACAGGAAGGGGCTGTCAGCAAGGTTCAAGGGTGGAGGTCCTGTTGCAGAGCTTCTCGGGTCCGTATCAGGTTGGGTGTTGCAATATCGCTGTCATTACTGATTGCGAATGAACCCTAACATCTCTGTCCAGCTGTGATGGCCGAATCTTTTGTTTATCGACTTTGACAGCATATGATCACGCAACCTACCATGCTGAGAGCGACAATGAGCTCAAGGGTTTTTGTTCAGTTCCGTATGTTTCCACAGCGAGTGTAGGGCCTGTTTTCTCAGGCTTACAAAGTGTTCCTGCGTTTTGTCCCAGGTTGTCGCCATTGTCAAACAGGCGTTCTGTCCGTTTGTATTGGGACTGTGTTGGCAGGTCAGCATGTTCTGGAACAATCGGGCTGCTGGCAGTGACGCAGGACCACAGTGGCGTTCTCACTGCGCCTTTTCGGAACTCCCGCTGTTTCCAAACAGACCTCTAGAGTCCGCTGTGTTTCTCGGCTGAATGCCGCTCATGGAACGAGTCCAGGAGGTGCAGAGAGCTCCCATCACAGTGGAGCCCTGAATAACCGAGGGATTTCACTGTAAAACAGCACTGGCCCCTACAGTTTTCATCACGCCTGTTGCGCTCGGCACCTTGATACGCACCAATAGCTGAGGCTAAGTCCCCTGCCTGGGTCTTTCATGGGTGACTGACCCAGACTCCACAGAGTAATGTATGGGGGGGGGTGGCCAGTACGCTCACTGTGCATCACTGACTTTCAATACTGAATATAGAAATTGTTGGAGCTCTATAAAGTACAGGCAATGAAACTGACACTCTGGAAAAATTATGTTTTCATAATCATCGTCCAGATCGTCTTTATAGACGTATTAGTGTGCGAGTGCTGGCTGGGTTTGACTGGTTTAGGACTCTTCTTAAAATAGCTACCCGCCCCTCACCTCAAAGAGCTGCTACGATGGTCATGGAAGTGATCTCACCATCGTCTTCACAATGACCTCTCGCCCGCTGCTCTGCCCCGTCCTGGCGGAGCACAGGTACCGTTTGGCATGGAGTCGGACGGCATGAACATCCTAGGCCTGGTTCTCTTTGCCATGGTGTTCGGGGTGGCGCTGAAGAAGCTGGGGGCCGAGGGCGAAGAGCTCATCCGATTCTTTAACGCCTTCAACGAAGCCACCATGGTGTTGGTCTCCTGGATCATGTGGTGAGTTCAGCAGGTTCACGTCGAGCTTTTCTGTCATTCTCCTTCAGTGCGACACATTGCAGCCTCTAACAGTGTTCACCTTCTCTTCTGGATTCATCAGACTGTACTCCTACTTATAAAAGGCGTGCAGGTCATGTGACAGTCACCTCAAAGATGGCAGTATGTTTTTAAGTCTGTTGGTGATACTGGGAGTGATCCTGTGTACCTAAGTGATCTTGTGCTCCAAAGCCAACGCACCAATCTATTGTTGCAAACGAATGCACTCACAACACTCACTGCCGCATCAAAAACACTCCTGTGTTGGCCGTTTCCCCCCAGTGGCACTTAGATGTAAGCCATTCACTGAGCTGGTCTCTCTTTGCATTGACCTTTGACCCCTTGTAAAGCATTATATATCCATGTCGTCGCTGCATTGCTGTCGTCCGGCAGGTACGTGCCTGTGGGCATCATGTTCCTGGTGGGCAGCAAGATGGTGGAGATGGAGGACGTGGTGCTCCTGGTCACCAGCTTGGGGAAGTACATCTTTGCCTCCATCCTGGGCCACATCATCCACGGGAGCCTTGTGCTTCCCCTCATCTACTTCGCCTTCACCCGCAAGAACCCCTACAGCTTCCTGTCGGGCCTGATCACCCCCTTCACCACCGCCTTTGCCACCTGCTCCAGGTGGGGCCATTGTATCTGGGCAACAATAGAGCCCCCACTTCCCTGAGGGATGCTGGGTAATGACGGGGTGCTATTAGCTCAGGAGACAGTGGGTGTTTGGCAATACTACCAAGAACGCGAAGACTGTTTTTGGTAAGAGCGATCTTGCTAACTTGCCTCCCAAGAATGAACTTGGGACGCAGTGAATCATGGGATTGTTCTCATTGGCAAGGATGCAGCCGATGCATCCTTGGTATTTGGTGCGGCGCAAGAACGGCATTCTGGGGTCTTACCCCTCCTCCATATTTCGGTTCTTGAGTATTGGAGCTGTACTTCAGTAAGTGATGTCAAACAGGTATGAGAGAAGAGAACCCAAGAACAGGCAAGTACATATATTGAAAAACACCCAATGACTTCTAATTTAATTTGTATTAAATTAAAACAAATAATTCAACATGATCCACATTGCCGATATTTACCAGTTCCTTGGGGTCACATTTTTTGAAACCCAGAAACCAACAATACGGTAGACAAGAGTCTTGTCTTCGTCCTTTCCAGCTCCCCTGACATTAATTAAGCCAGTCTTGTGCTGACAGCACCTGACATCCTTACAGCGGTGGAAAGAGAGTGCAGAATACCCACAGAGATGCGGTAGAGGAACAATGCTGAGGGATTCTGATGAGACAGCTTGTCTCGGGGCTCAGTGTGGCTTTGGAGATCCTGGGCTCCTGCTGAAGGTTCACGGCTCTCGTTAGAGTTGGGTTTTCTTTTCCCGCCCCTGCAGTTCAGCCACGCTGCCGTCCATGATGAAGTGCGTGGAGGAGAACAACGGCGTGGACAAGCATATCAGCCGCTTTATCCTGCCCATTGGGGCCACCGTCAACATGGATGGGGCGGCCATCTTCCAGTGCGTCGCAGCCGTCTTTATCGCGCAGCTGAACAATTCGGAGCTCAACGCGGGACAGATATTCACCATCCTGTACGTGAGTTGAACTGCAGCTGGAGCGTAGGCTCCCCCTAGTGGCCGTTCGTGATAAGGTGATCCAGGACTCATTACATTGTGTTTAGCAACCTAGTTGACGCAAAATTAAAGCTTTTACACTGTTTACACAGCCAGATATTTTACTGAGGTAATTCAGGTTAAATATATTGCTCAAAATAACTTATGGATCCTTGCTGGACATTAACTACCAACCTTCAAGTCATAAAAGTTTTTTCTAAACTATGGCGCCATCTGCTGTGTAACTAAAGTTTTTCATGAGGTTACAGTTTGGAGGACCTCAGTGCGTGCATGTTTGGTACACTGGTGTTATCAGGAGAAAAGAGCCTTAAATACCTTTGTGCAGAAACAGTCCAGCTGCTACCTGGTTTAATCTCGTAAGTCTCAGTACCAGTAAGTTCTGTAACTAAACTTAGATACCAGTCTCTCTGGTTTCCTGTTAAGAATAGACACCACCCACACACAATACTCACCACCACCCACACATAATACTCACCACCACCCACACACAATACTCACCACCACCCACACACAAAACTCACGACCACCCACAATCATGCAATTAAACGCAGCCTGAATGCACGTTCCTCCACCCTACCCCCCCACTCCAAACACTGAGGCAGCAGGTGGCATATTAATTACAGAGCAGCACTGCCAAGTTCAAATCCAAGGATAATCAAGTCATGGAATTGCCTCAGTAAAAGTGCAGTTGTGTAAAATGTACGCTTTGCTGAAAAGCTTGCTGGTAGAATGTGAGGATGAGGCCAGCGTCCCACTGAGTGCTGCCTCGTGCCACCCTGGCACTGTGCTCACAGGGTGACAGCCACTGCATCCAGTGTGGGGGCGGCCGGCATCCCCGCCGGGGGCATCATCACCATCGCCATCATCCTGGAAGCCATAGGGCTGCCCACCAATGATCTGTCGCTCATGCTCGCCGTTGATTGGATCGTGTAAGTGACCTCAAGTGCACACGCACAAACACACACACACACACACACACACACAGAGCTTATGAATGGACCCAATTATGGATCAGGTGTCTTTCACTCTGCAGTGTAAGCAAATAGTAAATCGGGAATAAACAATTCAAACAATTAATCATTTGAAAGCACTCAGCAAACACAAACGGCAACTTTGTCGTTTCTTCTGAGATTCGAGCAGCAGAGTTTAGTTTGAAATTACTCATGTTAGTCATCATAATTAATAATAAGCTCATAAAAGTGAATGATTGCGGTTTGTGTTTGGGTTAATGGCCATTGTAAAGTGAGATGATAGGATCCTTCTTGACAAACAACAGTTAAAAACAACAAATGCCAATTACAGCCATGTGGTGAGTGATCCTTGACACTGATTTTCCTTGCAAAGGTCTGATGTTTATGTGGATGGTTATAAACTATGTCTAATGTACTACCCGCTACCGCGAGGGACTCTTACACTGTAAGGTGCCTGTTTGGTTCGCAGGGACCGCACAACCACTGTGGTGAATGTGGAGGGGGATGCCCTGGGGGCGGGAATCCTGCACCACATCAACCAGGAGGACATGAAGAAGAGGAAACAGGGTCGGTCGGAAGGGAGGCGGGAGGAGGAGCTGGCGGAGGTACAGGTGGAGGCTGCAGCCCACGTGCAGGCTGAGGAGGAGATGTCCCCACTCGTCACCAACCAGGGCAGGGGGCAGGTGGCCTTGCCGGGCCGTTCGGCGGAGAAGGAGGACATTGAGTCAGTTTTCTGAACTGCAACCGGAAAAGGCACTTATGGGGGGTAGTCGATTTCAAAATAAAAGACTTACCTCTGACAGGAGAGGCTGCCCTGCTAAAGCAGTCGTTGGGAAGGTGACATTTGTCATAGATTTGTATTGTCCTTAGGAACACACAAAGTAAGTCATTTCTGTAGCGGAGGCTGATTCTTTTAACGTTGTCTGCATCCAAAATGGTCCCTTTCACCTTCAAGTAGTGAATGATTCTTTTTTTTTAATAAGAGGATTGCCGTTAGCCAATAGCCATGAGGCTGTGGGGGGGTGGGGGGGGGGGGGCACACAGGCTTAAATTATTAACAGGCTCCCTCCTTGCTCCTGTTGGTCTGTGCTTATTAAGTATTAACTCTTTGGGAGAGGAGGTACCCTGCCGGTTTCATGTCGGCCGTGGGATTTTAGCAGCTGGACTAGAGAGTCTCCCCACCCCCCCAAGTCACATTGGAGCGATGTTCCCAAAACCAAGAAGAGAGGCCAGGGCGTGTTGACGCCGCTTTCCCCTGATGGCTGGAACGTGCGGCGTGCCAGAGCCGGCTCCACCTTTCTCGTGCCAAACTACAGCGAGAACACAGCAGCCATGTTGGTCTGCTAATAACAGCCGTGAACTTTATTTTTTAATAGAATGTCAGGTGGTCCAAAGTGTGAATGTCTGGCCCAGATTAAACCTATTGCATTCATTCTTAACTTTGACATATTTACATGTTACCATTTTTATTACTTACTCACTATGTGTAGTTCAGTGACTGCCAAACAATGTGTTTTATAAATAATTTTATAGTTACTGTGCACGTTTTAAATCACTTTATCTAAGCCATGCCAAGATTTACATCTGTTTTTTCCATAGCAATTAAAAAAACTAAATCTTTATTTTTGTTTTACCCTTTCCCAGATAAAAAAGAACCTGTGATCTTTAGTTCACTTTGAATGTACACAAAACTTGTATTATACTGAGAAAAACAGGTGCAAATTGACAAATCAGACAGCACAGGGCTATCAGAATTGGCCAAAATCACTTCTGATTGACTGACCTGAGATGATTGTTGACTATGGAAAAAGTTATTTCTATGTTTAAGTTTTTAAAATTTATTACAAGTGTTTAAATTTAAAGTTATTCCAAGCTTAAATTTTAAAAAGAAGTTAAAGCTTCACCTGTTCTATTTTGCATATACGTTTGGTGGCTTATTGTCAGTATACATTTCATCTCATTCTTTTTTTAAAAGAATATCTAGAATTCTCCACCAGAAAGTCTCAAAATATGGAATGGAAGGATGGATGTTCAGATTTTAATATGAGAATTTTTTTAGTCTTTAGACACAGTCCTCTCACAAAAAGTCCTTTTAGATATTATGAAATTAAAAATGTCTGCTATCTGCAAACCTTTTCCTACGTGTGGTGGAGTTATTCTGTGGTGAAATATACATTATAAGTGCATGACATTGTTCATGACAATCTCTCTGTTGTATAATTACATACCATAATATCCCCTGAACATGGATGCTATAGGCTCTCTTCATGAGTGCTAAAGAAGTATGACGGTAATATTAAGTTGCAGCAGCAGTTGTAGCTGGAATGAATTGACATTGATTGTTGTAGTCAGTAGACTACATGTCAATTCGACAATATTTTAATTGCACGTTTAAAAGGAATCTGATGTGTGCCAAATACATATTTGTTTGAGTCAGTGGACCTTCCTACCACAGAGACAACACAGAGATCATATAAAAAGCAGGATTTGAGGACCCAGTCTCAAAGGTGTGTAATATTTCCGGCGATTGTTCATGTATGTGAAGAATGCTTGTCTTCCTTCTGAATAATCATTTTACGCATTTTTATTTTCCGTCTAATTAATTTTATTACTTGATATAAGCGTCAGCGCCAGGCATGGTACAATCAAATATGCCAGACCTAAGGATGATCCGCACCTTAGTAACTAAATTGTAAATATTTGTACGCTGTTGACAGCTGTATGTTTTACTGTAGCAACTGAGGTGCAGCGCTAAGGCGCTTTTCAGAGTCAGTATCGGTGTGAAACAGCCACGCATCCCGGTGAGCCATACAGCTCCATGTGGACCTCAATCAGATACGGGATCTGAGTTAACGGCGTACAGCAAGCGGCGTTATGTGCAGGCAGTCGCGGGTTTGAGGTGTTAAGGGTCTCCATCACTTCTTCCGGGGGGGGAGACAGGCGTCTCCAAAACGGGCCTCCCGCAGTTGGCAGTTACACAGCGGCGTCGCCAGAGGGGATCGGGGGCTGGAGCTCGGAGGCTTTTCCGGCCGCTTCAGTGTGTCGGTAAGGCGGGTTCCTCCTATCCGGCGCTGGCGGGTGCAGACTCGGCTTCGTGTCTCATCGATCCGCCCTGAGATCGTGCATGGTCGGGGAAAGAAGCGGGCTTTCAGTCCCAGAACAGAACTGAAAGGACGGAGGTATTAGTTTCCCTGGGAAGGCGGAAAAAACACGATGCAAAGTAACAATCGTTATGATTTACTTTGTTTAAAATCTCACTTAAAAACTAGCGTAGGCTGTTAGCCCGATATCGCGATTAAGGTTCGTGTTTTTCGCTGATGCTGAATTTTATATTATTCTATGCTATACTGTAAAGATTTCTTGTTTAGCTAAGCTAGTCGATGCATCTGGACGCCACATTTAATAATACTTCCACTTCCGCAGTGTGCTGGTTTATACGAACAAAAACATGCATCTGCATGAGGACTTTCTAATTCAGTTTTTAATTTAGTACGAATGACGTTAAACTTTAGTTAAATCGCCCTGATTTTTTAATTTCTAAGGGAAATGCTACATGGTGTTTTTTGTTTTCTATGGAAAATGCTACACAGACCTATTAGATAAACATCGGATTCCTCGATTCAACATCTGCGAAATGTAACGGACCGGACTGGTAAAAGCTGATTTATGTGGTTAATTGGAGGTTGGGAGGGGTCCAATCGCGGTATCTGTGTTATAAGATGCTTCCTCATCATCTGTACATGTGTGCAGGGCTATGCAACAAGTGGCGCCCTTGTGATGTTTCGGTAGCACCCAGTTCCTGTAACATCACTGCATTGCTGTGTGCAGCGGGACTTAGGCGCCCTTCAGCCGCCGCACACTATGCAGTATTTATGAAGATCGGCCCTTACCAGTTATTAATTTTCTGTTACAGTTTATTTTTGAATGCGGTTTTTACCGCGAAAACTGCTCCAACGCGGCTTGAGTTAAATCCCCCTTTTAGAAGTACGACAAAGTGGGCGCGGGTAAGTAGGTCCGCCTGTGTTTCTTATTGTTTAAGCGGATCTGTTCACATAAGACAAAGTGTATCGGCAATACCTGCCTACTTCGTCATATAATATATTTACTTTCGAGTGTAAATATATTATATCGAGTGTTTTTGATATTGGTGTACATTCTAGGATTTTTTTCACCAAGACAGGGTTCGTATATATGGTAATATATTAACTGTGTGGTCATTTATAGCACATTAGTCTTTATAAATGTTTGGTGACACAATACTAACTTCTTTCAAGAAGATTATGACCTCAGTTTTTCCGATATTATGCCCGTGATACCCTGCCCACCTGTTGCCATAGTTGCTGATATTTACGAGACATCATAGTAACTTTGAAAACAATGAACCAGACGTAGCTTTTTATTGGGTTCATGAGACCGATTATCATGGCATTTAACGATTTATGGAGCATTCACCCGCTTGACTCGCCTTCGCTCCCCCCATTTCATGGCCATGGCTGATGGCCTTGCCTTAGTCTACATTATACAGATGTTTAATAGGACGGGTCTGTATGGTTCTGGCTATACCTGACTGACATGTTTGTAGCCTGTGGGGGTTGTAATGCTCTGTGTAATGCAGTGGTCGGCTTACCCTGGGATAGAGCTGCACTCAAAAGCCAGATTGTCACAACTAGACACAAGTAGCGTCTTCCGGTGTTTCTTAGCTTAGCTACTTAGCATTTCGCTACCACCACGTCCCCTCCTTGGGTGTCCGGCGTGCAGTCCTGCTCGGAAAGGAGTCTTTCGGTGCCACAAAGAAGACAGGACTCGGCACTCCCCTGTAACGCTTGTGCTCTGGTATTGCCAGGAAGCTTCGAGAGCTGAAGTTGGTGTCTTTATAGGAAAGTACAAGCTGAATTTTTTTGTGTAAAACTTGGGTTCAAGTTGGGGCAAAATGGCAAGGAGGTAGGGTGTAGTTTTACAGCATGACGCGGCGCTTTCTAATTTTACACACTTAGAATTACTTTCGTAATATCTGGTTTATTTTTCCTTCCTGCCAGAAACCATGCATCAGCCACCAAAACAAAGCCCTTCTCTGGGAGTCCATGTTTATCAGGCTCCATGTTATGAGTATTCTGAAGGCACCTTCCTCTGTTGTCATGGAAACAGAGGATGGTTAAAATAGCCCATCATAATATAATAGAAGTGCTGTGGTGGGAAGCCCTTATAGAAGGAGAGTCGCACACATTGTGGGTCAGCAGTGTTTGTACGTGGACACAGAGAACTGATGGCCAACTGGTGAATAGCGTTAGTTACATCTGATGTGCATCTATGTGGCTATATGGATTAGAAATAGTTAAAAAAAATGTGTAAAGACATATATCACCAATAGAGGGCAGACTTTCACTTACATTGAGGATTAAAATGCTTCTCAGTGCTATTATTAAAGCTCACGCTATCCAGATGAAATATGATGATTAAACATGACTCCAAACCTACAATTTAAAGCAAAACCCAATGACTTTGTCTGTCTTTTTGTTTTTGCTTTTCTTGCTGATCCCTTCTGGAGATTCATGGTGTATCGTGGTCATTGTTGTTCCAAACAGTCCTCTCTGGTGCCCTTTTGAAGGAAGGTTTTTGTTCTCTCCAGGGGAAACAGTAGAGGCTGTGCTGTCAACATGTGGAAGCTGCTGCAGGTTCTCTGGGATACTAATGTCAGGGAATGGGGTATATGGGGGGAGGGGGCTAGGAATGGGTGAAATCTCTGGTGCAATGGGGGGGATTGTAGGAGGATGTGGTTCCTGTGCTCGTTATTGGACAAAAGACTGTGTTCTCTAGGTCTGTGAACAAGCCTGAACAAGCCCAATTAGTGACATTACAGTATTTAAATGGATGTGTCATCACAGTCATGGAGTGAATGTGCTATCTTTTTGTCCCTAAATCTGATCTTACTCTGTTGGGTAGCAGTTTTGGTTTTGTTGTTCACCATAGAAGTAGTTTAACTAGGAAGAACATTATTTTTTTTAAATGGCTTTTCCCAGAAAACACGTATAATTTGTTATTGTCTACACTACTCCATGGCTTTCTGGCTGCATGCCTTTGATGACAAACTTCAACACTTAGGAACAATGTTTTGTGGTTCACTTGTGGGTTTTTTTAAATTGTGATCCATTGGGGTGTAAGAGTAACAGTTCATGATTATAAGCAGGATTCAACTGGAACAATCCGGATATGTGGAGATGAATGTTTGACATCCTTGGTTTGCAGTGACGACTTTTGGGCTGGTGATGTGTGGTGGCTCCTGACCGGGTTGCTATGGCTCTGGATGTTGATGGGAAGCTTCCAGACCTGACCCCCCACATGGAACTCCAGGCTTATGGAAGGCAACAGAGGGGGATCTTGGGAGCTATACGCAGCGGGGCCACCAGACCAACTTCCCGTCCCTGGGCCCCCAGACAGAGGTCAATAACAACCCGGTTCCCACCGGCTAAAGATCTGGACCAAGAGAAGAGCAGCCACAAGAAGACCGTCACTATGGCACCAAGATCGAGGTATCTCACAAGTCAGAGCCAATACTGCGTCAGGAAGCCGCTGTTTGTCACCGAGTGTCATGTTTCAATCCTGAAGAAGCCCGGCCTCCCTGAGCAATCCGAGCAGGTAAGATGACACGTGGAAAACAGACTCCAGCTTTGAATTAGGCTTGATGGAAAATGTTCAGCTGCTGTCTCCGTCTCTTAGGTAGAGCAACCCAACAGACCATGTGAGCTCCCTTCTGAGGAAGTGGAGCCACCATCCAGCCCTCAAGAAGAGGAGACCTTGGGTATCAGCACCCTCTTGAGATCGGATGCTTCTGCTCCCCCTGCTGGTGGGGAGGATTGTTCCCATCCACTGACTGTGGCAGAGCTATGTGACTGGTCTTCCAATGAGGAGCCCGGCACGGGTTCTGACTTTAGCGCTGGAGGCTCCCACTACCGCAGCCTCTCTAGCCCACCGTTGGACATCCGCAGCCTAACGGTGCCCCTTCACTCCAAATGGTCTTCTGCTCAGAGGTCCCATTCTCTGGATGCCTTTGGTCTGTCATCACGGCCCTCCTGGAGGGGTGCTGCCTCAGACCCTGGGTCTTTGCTAGTCAGTAGCCAGTGCCGGCCACCCCCCCTCCACCAGATGTCCCCTCATCAGGCTAGGTACTGGGCGTGTGCCATCCCCAGCACAAAGCCACCGTGCCCAGACAGGACATCATCTAGCTGGGACCCCAATAAAGAGTATCAGGCTCTCCTGGATTACACCTACCCCCTACGGCCTAACCTGCCATCTTCTCAAGACTCCATGGAGCCTGGGTCACTGTTGTGGACCGACCCACTGGTAGAGGACTCTGGCATCGAGATGGACCGTTTCTGTAGCTCCACTACTCTATCATACGGTGAGCTTCCTCCTGCAGGTGGGAGCAGGGATGGCTTGAGCACAGTGCTGAAAGACCAGGAGCTCCAGAACCAGCCCCTTAGAGACAACTTGCAGCCCAAGTCCCCAGATTCTAAACTGTCCAGTAGTTGGCAGTCCTTGGTGGACCAAGTTGGGTTCTCAGCAGACAGCCTGCTGGACAGCGATGGGTCACGGCCCTCCCACTGGATGCACAATAGCAAGCCGGGTGTCTATTCCTCCTTCAGCACAGCTGCCACCTTCAATCGGAGTGCTTGTATCTTGCCCCCTGCTGGGGCACCTTGGGATGGGGAAGAGGAGTTTCACCCCTTGCCTGGCCGGCTGAGGGAGTTGGAGGTGCTCTCGCAGCATCTTCGTGAGCTCTCCCTACAGGCTAGCTCAGAGTCTCTGCTGGAGGACCAATCCCATGCAAAAGCAAGAGCAACACCACCTGTGGAGGACAGGAGGCAAGTGCCAGTGAGGGAAGAGTGCGCCTCTGGACCAAGTGTTATTGCTGGAGAAGAGTCTGTCTCCAGAGCCTCCTGTAGCCCAGAGGTTTTGGCAGCGAGGGCTGTGGGCCTGGCAACCAGTTTGGAGAACCTTAGCAGGGAGGTGGGCAGGGAGAGCCTGAAAGCTGCAGCTTCTTACATGGATCACCCAAGTGAGGCTAAGCTCCCAGAGTTCCACAGGAGAACCAAAACAGGCCCGGGGGAGGCACAGACCAAAGAATCCCTAGTACAGCACATCCAGGTAATTGGTGTCAATAGGGTTGCTATAAATGACCAGAGATATTAAAATTTCAGAAGGCATCGTCAGAGAGAAATACAGTAAGGTGCAATTATTTTGGACAAAGGCAGGTTTTTCTAACCCTGGTCATGGTGACCTTGGTATATGCAGTTCTGAGATCTTAATTGACCTTGATCTTAACTGTTGATGGAATGTGTTCAACAGTTCTAATGCATCTTTTGGAGACTCTCCATATTTGGTTAACTCCATTCCTTCACCTACAGGTGTTCTGCTCCAACCTCGAGGAGCTCATTTTGTGGCTGTACCGGGTAGTAGATAGGATACAGAGTCTGACGCCAGCCACGCCAGACATCAGTAGCGTCAGGTGCTGCCTTGCCAGTTACAAGGTTTGCTATCACATCCAAGACTCTGTGGGGAGAGGGAGCTTGTGTTTAGAGAAATTACTTGAAAGTTGAGAGAACGCACTTGCAACCATTTCAGCTTGCTATCTTACCTGCCACTTTTTCTTTCTGCCAGAGTTTCCAGAAGGATATTAGTGCACGGCAGCCCCTCACCACAGCAGTATTGAAGACCGGAGACTCCCTACTGAGCTATTTGAACTCCACCTCTCCCGGTAGTGACTCCCCTCTCCTGTGTTTGACCAACAAGGGTTCATGAAGAGGGTACACAATGTTGGGGGCTGAATGACCTGAAGGTTTCATGAGGGGGCTGGTTGGGAAACACTAGTTCAGGAGATGTTTGTTGGAGAGCTTAGCAAGCCCATGTGGTCGCTGGACATCCCACCAAATCTCCCCGTTTGACTCTTCCTACTGGAGTTGTAGGCCAAAGTGGCTCAAGGGTAGTGTTGCGGCACATTCCAAAGTCTGGGTCTATCCATAAACATACAATCTATCAGCTCACAGGATCCTGGGAACAAATGCTTCACCCGTGTCTGCCTTCACACACCAAAGTGTCAAGTTTGTGCATGGAATGGCCTTCTTTCTGCATGGTCCTGAAGTGGTTGAAATCACACTGTCCTGACACACATGACTTCTGTGTCAAATATCAGCATTTTAGAAGCTCCTGTAAACCTGTGTAACTGTACACGCGCCCGCCTGCCCCCCCCCCCCCCTTCTGGTAACAGGAGATGACGGATTGGACAATGCAGTCAGGCATGAGCGATTGGGGGCAAGGGGATCATCTTCCCAGATTCGGAGAGCCTAGCTTTTTTGTAATCTTAATTATTAGTGACTCCTATTGATGAGCTGAACGTCCATGTAACACTAAATGAACCTCTTCGGGTGCCCTTAAAGGGTCACTTATGATGTTAATTTTACACGTAAAGGCTGGAGATTAACGTGCTGTTTGGTGATTGGTGGGAGTAATTCATTTAGTTTAGATTATTCCTTACGGTTTGTAAGTCAACAAGTATAAATGAGCTTACATTTAAAAATAGTCATGTTGTAATGGGGGTCAGAGAGAGGTTATCCAAACGCTGCTTCTCCCAGCATCTGTGGCATTAGCTAGCTTGCAGCACCGGATGACCTGTGCTCTGTGCTGATCCACCCACAGTTTTAAGAGACACCCTGGCACTGATCGAGAAGCAGTCGGAAGCCCTTGAGACCCACACAGATCGCTTCTTCTCTTCCATATTGTTGGCAATGGACAGTCTGATCGATCCACAAGACTCAAAGGCTGGGGCTGCTGTCCAAAGGTGAGCTAAATGGCGGTTGAGGTGACAACAAGGTTCAATCTGTACCTGACAAAACCAGGGGTTTGGGATAAACTTTTAAGTTAAATTTTCCACACCAAAAAAAGTAAGAGTCATTAGTCCTTTTTTAGACATACGGTTAGTTCTTTAATTAGAAAGGAGCTTGGGTAAACAGGTCCTATTAAGATTGTTTCCAGAGGGCATTTTCGCATCCAGGCTGGGAGGGGAGATCGGTGATCTTTGGATTTCAAAGTGCTCCCTCTAGTGGTTTAAATATGCCTTGCACCAAAACTGTGGATTCAGTTCTCCCTGGAGGCAAAGAGAATGTCAGAAGGGGTTTCTCTGGCCTATTTGGAAGGCATATAGAAGATCTGTATCAGAAATGCTCTAGTTTTCATTGAATCGCTGAATGTGGATTCGTGCCGAGAAGCGCAAAATAACTTTCTTTGTCTTTCAGTACCAAGACCTGACCGGCGGAGAGGAAGCGCCCAGACCCACATATGCTTTGCGGGAACGTGCCTGGCGTCTCCAGCGGGCAGGTGGATTTTCGCCTTGGCGCTCTGAGCAAAGCCGCTTTTATCCCGGGTGCCACTGGAGGCCCGACCCCAATGACAGGCTCCGTGTCTATTTTGATACTGACACTTTTTGACCTGTGTGTGTGCTGCAGATCTTTTTTTTTTTTGGTTTCCTGTAACCCATCAAAACATGTGGTTTTCTCACCTGAACTTCAAAACAACCCGACGTCCTTCCTATGCAGTAAGGCACTGCTGGATATATGAACACAGCGACACTGATCTGTTTTCATAAATGCAGCATGATAAAGCTCACAGCCTCTCATCTGAGAAAGATCACCACCATTACTGCGTATTTCATTCCTATTCCAGGGTGACCCTCCAATATCTTACTCACATTCCACAGCCTAAAACAACAACAAACAAACGAAAAAAACATCTAGAAACCTTTGAGACAAAGGCCCCCATAGATATCTCCGTATAGAAATCCTCATTTGATGGACAAGCACAAATCTTCTCTTGCACCACGAAACTATGTACTTTGTACCCTATATCCTCACTGCTGTCACCCTGCTGAACAAACATAAGTACATGACTAACGGCACAATTTGGGCTCAGCTGTCCAAACTGGATAAGCACATTTTTATTAACGTTTCCAAAGCAGGCATTTCGAAAGCCGCACTGCCGTGGCATATCGGATTCCCACTCATCACACGAGTCGTGTCAGCGGTTAAAGCGCTCCCATGTTGATACAGACAGCTCCGTATAAATGGAGCAGGGTTAGGAGGAGTCCACAGGCGTCCTGAAGACACATCTTTACGTCTGCAGTGGATTACTGGCTGTGAAGAGCAAAGAGGTATTTTGCAGGTATTTTTAGGAAGCAATATAACAATGGCAGAGCTTGTAAAGAGCACAGTGACAACTTCCAAGCCCACTGCTAGGGGAACGGCAGTTATGTACCCAGAGATTTGAACTTTCAGACCCTCAGCCAAACACGGAAGGCGATGTCATTGCTCATTTTCCCCACTGTGGTGCTGCAGCAGTAGGCAAAGCCAGGCATCAGTCATGATTGGTTAACACATTTTACCAGCCTGCATGAACCAGGAAATGCATTATGCCCAACCCAGATGAAATGCTTATCACAGCACTGCGATTGTGATCGTCCCACAGCGTGAATAAACTGTATGAAAACACAGCTGGTTTGTATTGTGTCACTCGCAGTGCCGAGTCACCTTTGGCAGGCAACTTGTACAAAACGTGGAATAATGATGCATTTGGAAACTTGTAGCTGAGTCACACAAAGCAGAAATAGCACAAACGATACAATTCAAAGTAACCTGAAGTTCTGACATGTCGCTGCTAATTCCATAGGTGTATGACACAGCTGAACCTACAACTGGGTTTCCGTTTGCGAGGAGGTTAGATGACCCAGTTCCTAGACTGCTGGGATGTCCTTGAAGACACCATCTTCACGGAGCAGATTAAACACATTATACAGATGCTTTGCTCTCGGTTTTACCCATTTGTAAAGCAACATAAAATGTCCATTCTGAATCACAAAACCACACTAACACCGTTATACAAGCCAAGGAGCTTGAGCTGAACAGTAATCTACTGCATGATGAGAATCTAGAGTCACGTCTATTGAAAAACAGACTTACCCAGCTAATTTTAAAACTGAATCCAGTTGCCTTTATTATGAAAAAGAACATAGTGTTTCATTTATGCAACTCTAACACTGCCACTTCCAAATCAGGTATTCCACAGGTAATGGCCAAGTTCCAAACAGATTCTAAAGTACTGGTACAATGCATCTGCCATATAAATGTAGAATAAATAATTAAAACACGCACAAAATGATTCTACATATGCCACTAAGAATTGCAGACAGTTTTTATATCGTACAGTCTGGTGGTACAATATTTATTGAACATTTCCTCTGGTTTGTTACATATTATGCAACAAAATTACAATAGTCTGCAGCCACAAATTATATCCAGAGATGATCAAGTAACTATTCATCAGATAATGTAATTCTTTTACTCTACAGGACTTGCCAATCAGGTCTTATATATACATAATATATATAATGTTACATATATATTACATATATACCTTGCTTGAACTAGACATTTGACACAGGACAGTGGGACCGTTGCGCTCCGAGCTGGTATGTGCTGCTGACAGCTGTGTCAGAGACAAACAGAACTCCTACACATGCTCATGTAAGTAGCAAAGTAATCAAAATCCTGGTAAAGGGGGATTGGGGGGGGGGGGGAAGAAAATTACTCTGACCACAGACCAGCCCTGCAGTAGGAATGCAGTGAGATTTGCACACATTATTCTTATTTATAAACCTGCACACAGAGAGGTTGGGAACGGCAAGTGGGAGGACGTAACCTGCCTTTGGGATTGGAATCTGGGGGGGGTGGTGTTGTGGGGGGGAGGGGCGGACCGTTTCTTAGTTTCATGCCGTTTTCCGTTTGCATGGACTTTTGACTTTTTTTCTTTCTGGAAAGTGCAGCTATATACAGAACATCTCAGGAAACTGTTTATAATAATTTCTCTGGCTCTCGGTGTGGCCCTCCCTGACTGTCAGGCATGTTACATTACAGACTGGGGGAAGGTTTGGTGTGTGTTTGGGGTGGGGGGGGGTGAGTGAGAAGGCCTCAGCAGCAGCCCCCAGAGGAGGGCTTGACCGGAGTGCTCTGGATCTTCACGTTGGACTTCTCGGCACCGCCGGCGGTGGCTCCGGGGCCCATTCTCTTCTTGATCTCAGCCGCCATAGTCATGAAGGCCTGCTCCACGTTGGTAGCATTCTTGGCGCTGGTCTCCAGGAAGGGAATGCCCAGGGAGTCTGCGAATTCCTGGAAAAGCGAGCGACGCGTCAGGACTGCGTGGCGACTTTCCCGATGCTTGGGATGACCAGGTAAACACTGCCGAGAGGAAATACTCGCGAGAGGCCCTTCCTACGCCTGTCAGAAATCTTTCAGACTTCTGATGCTAAGCTCAGATTACTTTTGTACCCTGCGTGGAGCTCCGATGTCCCACAGCTTCCTGAATGCCCAAGGCAGGATATGTGCGCTTTTGATACACGCTCTGCCAGGTGGGCTGCTCGCTTTACACATTCCAGCTGCCGGAACACCTGAAGGGGCGTGTGCTATTCAAACCCCACCCCCTGCATGACCCAGCGCTGCAAAGCCCAAATTCTTGTGAACACTGGTCTCCTTACCTTTGCCGTTGTGTAGTCCACAACCTTCTTCGTTGTCAGATCACACTTGTTCCCGACCAACAACTTGTTCACATTTTCACTGGCGTAGCGGTCGATCTCCTGTAGCCACTGTTTGACGTTGTTGAAAGACTCCTGTAGGGGAAAAGGACCAATAAAATGTATGAAAAATGTGGAAAAGCAACAGGGCAGATAAATGTTGACGTGTAAATAACTTTAAATTTAATTTTAAATTTGTGAAAACAGCGAGGCAAGCTACTCACTTGGTCTGTAACATCATAAACTACAATAATGCCATGGGCTCCCCTGTAGTAACTGGACGTGATTGTGCGAAACCGCTCCTGTCCCGCTGTGTCCCACTGTGAAACAAGAACATTTCCCATTGGACGTCAGGCTCAGAATGGACAAAGGTCAGGCACCCATGTCCAATAAGCAATAGATTCACTTGGAACATTAAAAAAAAACCTGTGACTGCAGGAGAGAGATTAGACTAAAACCCCAGATATTGTGTGAAATGCTTATAACCGTTAGCAACCCCTTGACTACCAGGGTGAGGGGGTGGGAAACCCAGTGTGAACTGTATGAATTAACTTCTGCCTTTGTCACAAAAGAACAGTGCCTTTGTTAAAGTGTGCACACACACACACAGAGCTCCAAACCATATACGCCAAGTGAAACAACAGTACAGGAACCACTAAAAAATAAATAAATAAAAGCCACACATTCCCAAGTGAGGAGGAGATACTCACAATCTGAAGTTTGATCGTTTTCCCATCTAATTCGATAGTTCGTATTTTGAAGTCCACGCCAATAGTGCTAATGTAGCTTTCTGTGTATGTGTCGTCCTGAAGGGGGAGAACAAGGCAAGAACATTTTTACAGACATCCTGGGGCTTGCGGTCACATCCTGTTCAAAGTGCAACGCAAACGAAAGAAGACACACACACACACACGCACACGCGCACACGCACACACACGCACACGCACACACAGTTAAGCAAGCTACATCTTGACAGTAGTCTTATTCAAGAAGCATCATTCAAAAATCCATGCAACATGAACATACAAAATGCATTCATAAGTCTATATACACAAGACATAACCCCCCCCCCCCCCCACTAATACACAAATAAAGAAACCCCTGAAACACACAAGGCTTTAAAAGTTCTAGCTTCCTTTCAGTGACAGGGGAGCTGGCAGACTATAGCCCTTCTGCCAGAGGAGACAGAAAGGAGAAGTCGTCATCTTTCAAGGGGGCTGCCATTAATGAGACCCCAGCAGGTACTGGGAGACAGGAAACACTCACTGCAAATCGGAGGAGAAGGCAAGACTTTCCAACCCCGGAATCACCGATCAGAAGGAGCTTGAATAAATAATCACTGACAGGGAGAGAAAGGAGAAAATTGTTAATTTTTAAAACTTTGTTTAAAAAAAAAAAAATAAATAATCTGCTTCCTTATCTTCTTCAGTCAGATTTGGGGGGTTCCTAAGCAACACAAATCCATATGAGCAAACATCCAGAGCCTCCAATGAATACTAAGCTAGCAGACTGATATATATTTAGCATCAAATTATGCAGTTTGAATGACTTGTGCCCCCCACCCCATCAAAAGTTAAGCAGACATTAACATACATAAACTGAAACTTGCCAGTGCAAGTATGATGTAATATGCACCCAGATCTAGGTCACATGGTCAGCAAGCTTTATTCATTAATCTAAATTATATTAATTACTATAAGTGTCTCACAATTGATGGGCAATTTTCTAAATAATGCTTGACCAATGGTACTTTTAAAATGTTAACTATTTAAATTACTATTGTTTAAAATATAGAAGTAGCAGTCATGCCATTGGTTCAGAAACCAACCAATAACTCAAATTGTTCTATGATTGTTGATTCTTGAGAATAGGCATTTACTGTGTCTGTATGTAAGACTTATTAATACTGGCTCCCAAAATGTCTTCCATGTTTAATACAGAACGTGCTTTTCTCCCCTTTCTGAGGATACTTTGACTTAGCAGGTGCTCAGCACGACAGGAGGAATAACTGGGGGCCTTCCTTAAAAATTCTCCCGACTGATATTTCAGATGCACACAAGAGTCCACTGTCCAGCCCTCAAGAGGAGGAACAAAGGAATACCACCCTGACACACAACCACAGGCAGGAGTCCGTTTGCCCAAGAACAAGACAATACAACTCGGTGCAAAATTAAACAGGACAACAGCAAGAAAAATATTCCCAGCCAAAGGCACAGTCCTGCAAACGACTCATGCAGTGGGCAGCAGGCTTGAGTTTCTAAAGGTCTCTCAGGCCCCTTATGAACTGGCATACTTTATTTTGAAAAAGTGCTGCAGAAATCAAACACTAAAATATTAAAAGTGCCAGCAGTTAAGGCTTTTCTCATTGATGCAACCATTTCACTTGGGCACCAGTGGTATCAAAAGTAAGACCGTAGCCGTTTTCTAGCCTAAGAGGAAGTGTTCAGAGGAACCCCCCTGTCACAAGGAATTTAAAAACGAGACTCAAAGCTTCTCAATAGGTTTTATTGTCCCAAGAGATGCTGATCTATCAAACTTCCCTGCCAGCAATAGTGAACAGGCCAAATGATTGAGAATGTGGCCAATCAGGTGAAAATTCATATACCTAACTCTATCCCGATAGTACAGGCTATTGAGACTGCTTCATGAAATGAACAGAGGGGATATCAATCTGACTTGCATGCACAATGTACAGCTTGTCATGAGGAACAGTGGACTATATTGGGAGAGTGGGAGACCGGTGATAGTCTGTAGCTTTCACTGCTACCTAGCAATTTTCACTGACACACACAAGTTTCCAAAGCAGAATGGGTGACCTGAGACACTGGCTGTTTTCAGGTGCAAAATCTGTGAATTCACTGAATGAAGAGCAAGCCTGTTCACATATGCCTGATAAAGGTTAGGAAAGTTTTTATTTTAAAACAATT